CTTTTGCAACATTAGTGATATTTAACAGTTGCCTGTTACTATTATGTTAACAATGTCCTACACAGCTTCTTTTTACTTTAAAGTGATATTTTTCAATCACAGCTGGGTATTTAAATAATCTGTGGACTAATAACATGCTGGAATCCCACAACCTAAAGAGTCTGACTAGAAGCAACAACTTTATATGGATATATTAAATTACACAAGAGATACACTTCCTAATTTAGACAAAGGGAATGCAAAGAAAGAGGAAGGCCAATCATGTTTGATAGAAATGATCTATTGATCTATTTGTAGAGATACAGTTTTATGACTCGGTACTTCCATTTAGAAATCTTATTGGGCTTTTCAATGAATAGATAAAACTTGTTTCTTTCTAGCAAGATCCATGTGCATGTATATGAGTAATGTGCCTAAATCTAATGTATTTGCATATTAAGGACTAGGTTATAGAGCTAAAAAAGAACTTGATGGTTTTGACTTTACTGCTAGGTGTTGACTATAGAAAAGACTGTTAGTGGAAGTTGTAAGCAGTGAGGAAATTGCTATGGGGGGGGGTTGCAGAAGAGGCAACCTATGTCAAGTAGTGGCAGGATGTTGGACATTGCTGTTGCCTATGATAACGTGAATGGTAGGATACACATGTGCCAATGAGGCACTAAAGACATATCTGTTCAGTTTTCAAGCAAAATTCTAGCCAGTGAAATATTTGAAAATTAAGAAATAGCCCTAGGATAGCAATGAAATCATGGGTGTGGCTATAAAAACGTTTTTTAAGACTCCAGAAAGATTTAATGTGGTGCTTTGAAGACCATCTTAGGGCTTCCAAGATTCTTAGGCATGTGAAGTAGACAGAGATCTGTTTCAAAAAAAATGATAGATCTGAAGGTTGGAGCATGGAATTAACCTTAGGGAGATTTACATCAAAATTATTAAGTTTTTCGGAAAATTGTATTGGATATGAATTTTGGAGCATGGCATGAACCTCAATAAAACTGATAGGAAATCCGCATGGTTTTTAAGATACTTGTATTAATGAAAGAACTGCCAGCTTAAGCACAGAAACAGTTCAAAATAAAAAAAGGTTTTTATTTTTTGAGACAGTCTCCCTCTGTTGCCCAGGGTAGAGTGCTGTGGCATCAGTGTAGTCACAGCAACCTCAAACTCCTGGGCTCAATTGATCTTCCTGCCTCAGCCTCCCAAGTAGCTGGGACTACAGGTGTGTGCCACCACACCCAACTCATTTTTTAAATTTTTAGTAGAGATGGGGTCTTGCTCTTGCTCAGGCTGGTCTTGAACTCCTGACCTCAAGAGATCCTCCTATCTTGGCCTCCCAGTGTAAGCCAGCACGCCCAGCCATAAAGAGTTTTTAGACCTTTGTGTTTCGGCATGAAGCAGAGTGAGAGACCTGCTCAGCCAGAAATATGAGCCATTTTTTTTTTTTTTTTTGAGACAGAGTCTCGCTTGTTGCCCAGGCTATAGTGAGTGCCGTGGCGTCAGCCCAGCTCACAGCAACCTCAAACTCCTGGGCTCAAGCGATCCTCCTGCCTCAGCCTCCCGAGTAGCTAGGACTACAGGCATGTGCCACCATGTCCGGCTAATTTTTATATATATATATTAGTTGGCCAATTAATTTCTTTCTATTTATAGTAGAGACGGGGTCTCTCTCTTGCTCAGGCTGGTTTCGAACTCCTGACCTCGAGCAATCCGCCCGCCTCAGTCTCCCAGAGTGCTAGTATTACAGGCGTGAGCCACCGCACCAGGCCCAATATGAGCCATTTTTAAGGAAAAGAAAAGACATCTCAGAGGATGTGGAGCCTAGAGTTCAGAGGACAAAGCCAAAAGCTCTGGATTAAAGCAAGTATCAGCTAACTACAGCCCATAGGCCAAGTCTAGTCTATTGCCTGTTTTTACATAGCCAATGAGCTAAGAGCCCTGGCAGATTCAACTTTTGCTTCTTCTTCTTTTTTTATTTTATGAGACAGGGTCTTGCTTTGTCTGGGCTGTAGAACAGTGCTGTCATCATAGCTCACTGCAACCTCAAACTTCTGGGCTCAAGCAATCCTCTTGCCTCAGCCTCCCAAGTAGCTGAGGCTACAGGCCTGAGCTGCCACACCAGCTAATTTTTTTAAAAATTTATTTTAGAGATGGGGGTCTCGCTGTGTTGTTTATGCTGGTCTCAAACTTGTGGGTTCAAATGATCCTCCTGCCTCAACCTCCCAAAGTGCTAGAATTACAGGCAGGAGCCACTGCACCCAGCCAGCTTTTGCTTCTTGAAAGCCAGCTACCATCACTACCTTGGTGTAAAGAGAAAGGAAGACTTAGAGGATGAGAGACCAGGGGAGAGAAAGGCCCAGTTTTCTTTCTGTCATTCTAGCCACACCCCAGCTGAGGTACCAGAAGAATGAAGACACTTTCTATCCTCTATCCCCAACTGAATTACCCAACCAACCATCATGTGGAGCGGAACCAGGTTGTCTCCACTGGGTCCTGCCCACATTGCAGAATCAGGAGCAAATAAATGGTTGTTTGTGTTTTAACTGCTAAATTTGGGGGGCTAATTTGTTCCATCACAAAAAGTAACTGATGCAAGGAGCTTGGGTGCATTATTCAATCCCTGAACTGGGCAGAAGATTTTATGTGGGCTCCAATTTCTTCATATATAAAATCAAGGATAGGGCAAGTTGATCTCTAGGGCTCCTCTAACATTCCATTATTCAGTGAACAATTGTGTTCTATCATTCTGTCACACTCAGTGACCACCTAATATTGCTGGCTAGGAGCTACTAGAAGTGTTGAGGTGCAGCAGATAAAGAGTAACAAAACAAAGCCAAGCACTCAGAGGACAATATACACAACAGCAGACAGTCTGAGCTCTGATGTAGTAAACATTCTCCCCAACCATGGGGGAAATAGAAAGAAGAGAATCTTCGGACTAAGATTCAAAAATTGTTTTATACTGGCAGAACTGGCCTCACATCCGTTAGAAATAGTAAACCATGACTTCTAAGAGCTTCATTTTTATGATAACATCAATGCAAAGTTCTTCGGCATGAAGCAAATCCCGGTTGTTACACTGACCTATAAAAGTCTGGATTTGTTGGGTGCCCAAAATAAGCAAAAACTTCTTTTGGACATTTGATGGCTTTTATATATTCCAATAACACGGTGAGGAGTAAGAGACTATGGAATCCATCCTGAGAAGTAGAGAAGGAAGGCTGAATCCCACCTGCCATCATTGCCTGCCTGTGTTCCCTCTATGTTCCAAAATGTTCACAACAGAGTAGGCAGATGAACATGGTTTCTGCCTTTAATGCTTTCAGTTTAAATTGAGAAGCTATTAATGTAAATTGGAAGTTATATCAAAAGGGTTGCTTCATTTTCTATTTGTTCTTCTGGGAGGACCCATTGTGTATAATCCCTAGGTAAAGTGCTGGGTAACAGAAAACTCTGGGCTTGGGTATTAATAGTCCACCCAGTTGTGGTGGACTATGCAGCTAATTCTCCATGTGACACTAAGCACAGCACCAAATGTCTGTTGGCCTTGCTATCATTCGCTGATTCCCAGGAGTCAATTAAAGCTCACCTGGAAAGTAAACCTGGATGTTAAAATAAATGGGAGGTTAAAACACAGAATCATCAAGACTAGGAGAAACAGGCTTGGTGTGGTAGCTCATGACAGTCTATAATCTTAGCACTTTGGGCGGCAGAGGTGGGAGGATTGCTTATGGCCGGGAGTTGGAGACCAGCCTGGGCAATAGTGAGCTGCTGTTTCCACAAAAAATGCAAAAACTCTCTGGGCATGGTAATGCGCACCTGTAGTCCTAAGTACTCAGAAGGCTGAGGCAGGAGGATGGCTTGAACCCAGGAGTTTGAGGTTGCAGTGAGCTATGATGATGCCACTGCACTCTAGCCTGGGGGACAGAGAGAGAGAGAGCCTCTTGTCTCACAAAAACAAAACAAACAAAAAAATCTGTGTGGAGTGAGTGAGCAAGGTTGAGTTCAAAGATCCAGTGAGAGGTCTTTGGGGATTCTTAGTAAAGCTTTCAAGCTTTCCTGCTAGTCTGAGGTTTGAATACAGTGTCACACACAAGTATGTGTTTGCCCACATGTTGCCAGTGCGACTCGTGCAAGAAAAGCCAGAAACAGCAAAACCGAGCAAGAGAGTTGGCTAAGCCCTTGCTAGAGGGAAAAAAACGGCAGTCATGAAAGAAGGGAGGGAGGAAAGTTCTTTGCTGGAACTTGGGGTTCAAAGCCACAGGCCCCACGCAGCCAGGGAACGCCAATTACCAGGCGAGGCGCACTGAGCTGACCAACAAGCAGAGACAAACAGAGCACAGCTGTCCTGGGAAAGGGGCGCTTCTGGGGCCGGGACGTGGGGGATCCCGGCTTGTGGCTTGGGCCCCCCACTCCCCACCCCAGCCTTGGCTCCCGGCCAGGGTAGGCCAGGCTTTGCAGGGTGGGACAGGGCGAATCGCTCTCCCCGCGCTCCTCGCAGGAACTGGCGGCCAGAGGTTAAGCTAATATGTTTGCAGACAGTAATGGGAGCTGCGTGCCAAGGGCCCCAGCGCAGGGTAGTCCAGATTTATGTGTCTTGGAACAACTCTTTCCCCCATTGCACTGACGCCAAGGGAAAAGAAAAGTGACTTAACCAAGCCAGAGTCTACTAAAATCTTTCTAATTTATTAACCCGAGCCCAGGCTGAGAACTCGACGTGGCACTCACGAAGTAAAATGAGGAAGGGAGGAAGAAGCGGGCCCATAAAGGGCCTCCTGGGAGACCTCGGCAGGGCTTTCCTGGAGGGCAGGGCCGAGGGCGCGGGGCCGCCCCCGCACGGCGCGGCTCGGGGAGAGTCCAGGGCGCGGCTGCCCCAACCGCCCAGCGGCCCGGCCGGGTGAGTCACCCAGACTCCGGGTGGGAGCGGGCCGGGCCGGGCCGGGGGGCGGGGCGGGGCGGGCCTCGTCCGCTCGGAGAGGATGTGGCAGCTATAAAAGCCCCACCCAGGCCGGGCGGCTCTGCTCGGCATCTGGGGACGCTCGCTGCTCTCTGCGCCCGGCCCAGGTAAGCAGGGCGCGCCCCGCCCGCCCGCCCGCTATGGCCCGGGGCCGCGGCACTAGCGGGGCGCCGAGACGCTGGGCAGAGGGACGGCCTCGCGGGGACGCTGGGCCGGCGGACCCCGGGAGGCCCCGGGGCCAGTGCGGGGCAGGGGGCTGCAGGGATGGCCCGCACCCGGGGTTCCGCGCGGAGGGCGCGCAGCGGGAGGGCGGGGTGTTCGGAGCAAGAGTAAGGGGGCCGCTAGCGCCCGGGCCCAGGGGTGCAGGGCGGGGACGGGGGTCCGGCGGGGAGTCCTGGCGGGAGGCGCGCGGAGGAGGCCCCGCATTCCGGGCGCGGCGGGCGCGGGCAGGGCAGGGCGTGGCCGCCGAGGGAACCGCGCGTCCCAGGCCGGGCGGTGGGCGGTGGGCTTTTCCCTCCACGGTCCGCAGCAGCTCTGCCGCGCTCTGCAAAGCAGCCCCCGATCTGTCCCAAGTTAATTTCACTGGAAACTCACGCGCATTTGTGGAGCTGGAACCAGCCCGCGGGAGGGCAGCAGTGGGGGACAGGAGCGGTGGGAGTTTGAGTAGTCAAGTGACCCCCCCAATAAAAAAAAACAAACCTCAGTTCGTTCCCCTTTGTTTAGATTATCTTGTAGGATAGCAACTTTGGATTTCACTGTAGCTGGAGTCCCCTGCCGGGTTGAACACACTTTTATCAGGAAGGAAGTGTCCCCCACGGTTCCGCGGGGAGGGCTGCCCTGTTACTTGTGATGATGCGACAGTGAGTCAGGGACTGAGGGTACAGAAAAGGGCGTGGCCCCCGGGGGCCTCTCGCCGCCCTGTGCAGCTGGTCCCAGCGCTGGTGTGGCCTTGGCTTCCATCAACCCGCTGTGGAGAAGCAGGAGGCCAGCGTCGGCTACCTCAGCCATGAAAGTGGCTTGATAAGGACGCCCACTCTTACCGCCACCCAGCAACATTATTGAAGATCTCAGAAAATATGTTCCTTCAAAAATAAACACGTACAGTGCACTGAAAACACTGAGTGCTACACAACGCAGAGGGTCATTTTTGTAGTAAGATTGTCATTCTACCGCTGTGGCGGTTCTGTGTGTAAAAGACCAATGACCTCAGGGGTGCGCATTGGGCCTTTTCCAAGAACCCTGAGTGCCTGGAGTCCGGGGGCCTGGGCGTCAGGCGGACTGCTGATGGATTCTGTTCACACGTGTGGTGCTAATGTGCCTGTCTGGAACTCGGATTGGAATGCGGAATGCACTCTCCCACTGAAATAATGGGGGTGGAAGGTGCCTAGGTTCCCAGGCTAACCCAGAAAAACCTATTTAACAGGCACCGTGTATCTAAGTAATGCCTAATTTGGGCGGGGCAGGGTGGGGTGGGGGAGTGGGGTAAGGAAATTTGGGAAGATGAGGGGGACAGGAAGAATAAATCACTGAAATATTTTTCTGGAACTTTTCTTAGGTTTAAGGTGGTTGGCCCTGATGACATTATTTTAATTACAAAGTTATGTCTCTGTCCCCTCTCCACTTTCTTTTTTCCACCTTCCTCGCACCTCCTTAGAGACCCTCGTCCTTGACATGTTACAACAGCCATCCAGGCTTCTCAGGGTGTGCTGTGTTCCCTCCTCTTCCGCATTTCAGTGTACTCACATCCAGCTAGAGACTGGCAAATTGAATCAATTTTCATTAAGTTAGGAATGGTTGGTGGTCCGAAAAATCCCCAGCAACCCAGAGCAATTGTGTTATTTTAAAAACAACAATACATAAACCTTGTTAAGCCAGACAGATCTGTAATTTATAGAATCCTAGGCTATGGAATCAAGGAGCAGTAATATTCAGGCAGTGTGAAGGAAGATTTTAGGTGAGATCAGGGCCAGAGAAGTGTCCTTTGTGGCCAAAAGTGTTAAGATAGCCTGGCTTAGCAATTTCCCCCCATCTTCTAAGTCCATTTATTATCTAAACGTCTCAAGGGTTTCTCCAGAAGTGTCCATCACATTTGCAGTGGAAGGATGTGACCATGATATACACTTTTTTAGTGGCGGATTTATGATTTGGAGACTGCCTGGATTTTGTAATTCCTTCAGTGCCAAGTGGCCTGCTCATGGCGAATGCCCAGGAAATATTGCTGACTCACTGGCTTTGGTTAGGACCTCAGTCTTGGACCCGAGTCTTCATATTTAACATCCTGTGTTTTGGGGCTATTAAATTATGGTATTGATTGACATTAGGCTGACAGTCATAGCCATTAGTTTACTGGCTAATTTCTGATTTAAGTAGTTTTCCTGGTAAGGCAGGTATTCTTCTATAATTGCTATTGATTTTGAGGGCTGTAGGCTCCGCCTGCACCATTGGGCCTAGAATCTGGCTCTAATGCATTGTTACAGGCCTTTGTTCTCACTCTGCTTGTGCCGGGCTTGGGACCTGCCAAGCCATTTTTCATTAAGGGAGGGTGGATGTGTCACAAAGCAAGTCGAAGGCTCTAGTGGGCTGCTTTAAACATCCATTTACTCCACAAAATACTAATCACCTACTATGTTCCACTCACAGTTATGTGAGTTATGGGGATACAGCAATGAAAAAAACAGACAAAAATAAAAAATTCCTGCTCTTTAGATCTTCAATCTAGCAGAGAGAGAAAGAAAAGAGACAAAATAAGTGAATTGTAGAGACAGCAATTGGATTTTTTTTTTTAAAGGGTTGGGTTTCGTTCCATTGCCCAGGCTGGAGTGCTGTGGCACCACCATACCTCACTGTAACTTTGAACTCCTGGGCTCAAGTGATCCTCCTGCCCCAGTCTCCTGAGTAGCTGGGACTACAGGTGTGTGCCACCATGCCCGGCTAATTTTTCTATTTTTTGTAGAGATGGGTCTCCCTCTTTGCTCAGCCTGGCCTCAAGCGATCTTCCCACCTTGGCTTCTTCCCAGAGTGCTAGGATTACAGGTGTGAGTCACTGCGTCCAGTTGGACTGGATTTTAAACTTTCTATTTTCCCAAATTAATGTTAGTTTCCAAATTTGGCTGGGGCGCATTTCCTCTTTCATCCAGCTCTTCCACATACCTGAGCATCATGTTTAACTCTCCTTAGGGAAGGGCTGTTTAAGGTTACGGCATCTTAACCTGCCTTCCAGATAAGACTGTGAGAATAGAATGTTCTTCTTTTTTTGCACATGAGAATCCTCTTCCGTCATTTTCCCTGGGGCCACACCCTATCCTAGTTGCAGGCCACACCAGAGGAAATTCCAGTCCCTTAACAAAATTCTTTCCACCCATTCACTGTCTGGCATATTTTTTCTTCTGCTATTGCCAGAGGCAGTCTTCATCTATTTTGTTGAGGGTACAGGTCCTCAGTAGTGGACAGGATGTGCCCACACTTGTGCTCCCACTGAGATTACCTCCAAATCTCCTTGTTGCCTGAAATCGCAACTTTGTCAGAGCACCCACATGGTCTGAGTTCTAATCCCAGTTTGGTGTGGAAAGCTCTGAGTCCAGGGAGTGGCTGTGACATGGAGCGCCTTGTGCATGCCCTTTGTCTCCTGGCCACACCCAGCCTGCACACTCACAGCTCGGAGGAAGCCTGAGTCCTAAGGCTTCTTGGACATCCTGCCTCCTCGCCTGCTTTCAGGCCACAAGGAGAGGTAGGTTACATCCCCACGTTGTCCTGTGGACACAGCTAAGACCCAAGCAGCCCTGGCAGCACGGGGGTGGGGCCACAGGCTACGTCAGATGAGAAAGTGGCTGCCCCCCCCCCCAGGTGATCTACCAGGTTTTGCATAGATTTGCAGAGGCTGGGAGTTTAAACAACTGGAACCACATTTGGAATGTTTAATCGGAGGGAGAGAAAAACAATTGAGGAAGAAGAGTCTATTGGAAAAGGAAGAAAAGACCTTCTAAAATGGGAGAACCAGCGTATGCAAGCCATCCAAGATGAGATTGCATGTCTGTTGTGTGCCAGGCACTGTGCTTAGACCTGTGAGGAGAAGGGACAGGCAAGTGGGAAACCCTGTGGGCGGATAGGGTGGAAAACAGCCTTTGCCCACTCGCCTCTGTGTTCCACGCCCAGAGCGCAGGGCAAGGAGGGCTGTGCAAGAAAGGCAACATTTATTGTTTTCTGTATCCTCACGTCTCATTCTGCTGATCAAGATAGAGGTTCCTGGTGGAGGGAACTTGGAAAGAACAGTGCCGAGTGGGCTTGGAGTAGAGTTAACAGTGCAGTCTGACTTCGGTGCAGGGTGTGCTTGTGTGCATGTGTGTTTGTGCAGAAGGTATTTCAAGGTAGGTAAGTCCAGAGTGTGGAAGATCTTGAATGCCGAGCTTAGACTTTTATGCGTAGGCAGCACGCCCTGTTGAAAGGACAATATGTTAGCCATAAAACACTCCAATTGAGCTGCAGATAGGAAGGCCTGGATTTCCCAGCCCTGGAAGTGCTTCATGCCAAGTGACGTCACCCTTCCTGCGGGTCTCTTCCTGCCCATGCCAGCCCCACATCAGGAGACGGACAGAGAGGCTCTGCGAGCACAAATCTGCAAACAAATATTGATTTAGATCAGGCAGCAAAAGGACAAGCTGGAGCAAGTGCTCTTGTCTCTCCTGCTCAGTTTGATCAAGCCACTGGGCCGAATTCCAGGAATTCTGGGGCATGGCTTGGCCCTGTGACTCAGGCATTAATCAAGACCATAAAACCAAGGAGAAAAGTATGTGCTTTCAAGAAGGTTCTGTTGAATAAAGATGCTGTGTATGTGTGTGTGTGTGTGGGGGGGGTGGAAAATGGAGTACAGTGGGAACTCCCCCTCCCACCCTGCAAAGCTGTGCATTTTTTTTTTTTAATTTAAAATTCCAGGGTGGCCTGTAGACTTGTGTCTAAGACAGTGTACAGTACGGGCTTTGGAGGGGAAACCCACGCCTCCACACTCCCAGCCCCCGCTCATTTTTGCTTTATAATCTTCATTTGAATCATCCCGTTCCTGATTGATTCATGATGGTTGCTAGGCATCTGTTTTGTGGTGACGGGTCAACAC